GTAACAGTAAAAAATAATATTTTTTATGGAAAATTCTAAGTTCAAAGGGAGATAAATCTGGAAATATTAGAGCTAGAGTTATGAACCTTGTCACATAAGATGGGGATGATGATAACGTAAATATATTTGAAGTATGAGGTCGATCCCTTAAGAAATAAAGAAGAAACAGTAAGAAATAGTACTTTTTGAGGAAAATTCTAAGTTCAAGGGGAGATAAATCTGAAAATATTTGTGCTAGAGTTATGAACCTTGTCACATAAGATGGGGATGATGATAAGGTATATATATTAGAAGTATGAGGTTGATCCCTTAAGAAATAAAGAAGTAACAGTAAACAAGAGGGCCATGATGAGGGCCATGATGGCCCTGAGGTCACTCACCTGTATATAGCCCCCCCCCCCACCCCCGGGCCAATTTTTACCCAAGGGCTTTTATTTGTTTATTTGAACAGACTTGGTAGACACCAATAAGAAGATGTTTCATGCTAAACATCTGAGTTCTAGCTCATTGGGTCTTTTAAAAGAAGATTTTTAAAGTTTTTACTATACACATATAGTTAAAAACAATGACACCCCTGGGGCAGGGCCAGTTTTGACCCCGGGCTTTTATTTGAACAAACTTTGTAGACATTTACTTAAAGATGTTTCGTGCTTAATATCTAAACTATTTGGGTTTTTTCAAAGAAGATTTTTAAGTTTTTGCTATACACATATAAGGAAAATCAAATGACCCCCCCCCGGGCGGGGCCAGTTTTGACCCAGGGCTTTTATTTGAACATACTTGGTAGACACCCATTAGAAACATGTTTCATGCTAAATATCTTAGCTCTAGCTCTTTGAGTTCTTTAAAAGAAGATTTTTTTAAGTTTTTTACTATATGCATATACAATATGCATATAGGGAAAAATCAATGACCCCCTGGGGCGGGGCCAATTTTGACCCCAGGGCTTTTAATTTGAACAAAACTTGGTAGACACTTCATTAGCAGATGTTTCATGCTAAATATCTTAGCTCTAAGCTCTTTGGGTTCTTCAAAAGAAGATTTTTTAAGTTTTTTTCTATATGCATATAGGGGAAAATCTATGACCCCTGGGGCGGGGTCAATTTTGACCCCAGGGCTTTTAATTTGAACACACTTGGTAGACACTCACTAGAAGATGTTTCATGCTTAATATCTTAGCTCTAGCTCTTTGGGTTCTTTAAAAAAGATTTTTTAAGTTTTTACAATATGCATATAGGGAAAATCAATGACCCCCTGGGGCGGGGGTCAATTTTGACCCCAGGGCTTTTATTTGAACAAAAACTTTGTAGACACTCACTAGAAGATGTTTCATGCCAAATATCTTAGCTCTAGCTCTTTGGGTTCTTTAAAAGAAGATTTTTTAAGTTTTTACTATATGCATATAGGGAAAATCAATGACCCCCTGGGGTGGGGCCAATTTTTACCCCAGGGCTTTTATTTGAACAGCTCTAGCTCTTAGGGTTGTTTAAAAGAAGATATTTAAAGATTTTTCTTTCGGTTGCCATGGCAACCAGAGTTCTGCATGGAATTAAATTCTTTGAACAATTTTTAAAGGTGACCACCAAAGAAACATTCCTGTGAAGTTTGGATGAAATTGGCTCAGTGGTTTATGAGGAGATGTCATTTTAAGCAAAAGTTTACGGACGGACGACGGACGGACGCCGGACGAAAAGCGATCACATAAGCTCACCCTGTCACTTTGTGACAGGTGAGCTAAAAATAGTATTTTTTAAGGAAAATTCTAAGTTCAAGGGGAGATAAATCTGAAAATATTGGTGCTAGAGTTATGAACCTCTATGTGCACAACTAGACTTGGTATTGATCATTCCTGTAAAGTTTGGATGAAATTGCCACAGTAGTTTATGAGGAGTAGTCCGGACAAGCTTTTGTGTATCTGGCAACACACAGAAAAACTAGAAATGTGTCATCATGCCACGGATGCCCCCGCATGCAGCCAAAATTTCAGATGTTATAATATTTAGTTCCAAATTTGTTTGCACAAATTATTGTTTTCATTTTAAGTTCAAAGCCTTAAAACTTTTCAATGCTAACACAAACCATTTTCATACAATGTTCAAGGCACTGAAATTATTCAGTCTTAACCTTTTGAAAATAGCATATTTCATATTTGTAGCCAATGGCTACATACATTTCCACAAAAGTACGAGTGCTGAAACTGAAAGTTCAAAATTTTTCCAATATTCAAGAAAGATAAGTTTGTCCAAAATCATTGAACCACGACCAAATTCAAACTTAAACTGCTTATTCCTAAGATGTATCTATATTATTTTCAAAGTGAAAGGGACATAACTCTGCCAAAAAATCATCGAACCATGACCAAATTCCAACTTGACCTGCCCATTCCTTTGACATATCCATATGTCAAATTTGAGTTGAATATGTAACACTGTTGGGCAGATAATGAACAGAAACTGTAAATTTCATATTATTTTCAAAGTAAAAGGAGCATAACTCTGCCAAAAATCATCGAACCATGACCAAATTCAAACTTGACCTGTATTTTCTCATGACATATCCATATGTCAAATTTGAGTTGAATGTGTTGTACCGTTGGGGAGATAATGAAAAGAAACTGAAAATTTCATATTATTTTCAAAGTAAAAGGGGCATAACTCTGCCAAAAATCATCGAACCATGACCAAATTCGAACTTGACCTGTATTTTCTCATGATAAATCCATATGTCAAATTTGAGTTGAATGTGTTGTACCGTTGGGGAGATAATGAACGGAAACTGAAAATTTCATATTATTTTCAAAGTAAAAGGGGCATAACTCTGCCAAAAATCATCGAACCATGACCAAATTCGTACTTGACCTGTATTTTCTCATGATAAATCCATATGTCAAATTTGAGTTGAATATGTGCAACCGTTACTAAGATAATGAACGGAAACTGATGATGACGGAATGACAGAATGACGGAACAGGGTAACACTATATGCCCCGGCCATTACATGGCAGGGGCATAAAAACACCTTTTTATCAAAGGGCCATAACTCGGCCAAAAATCATTCAACCGGAAAACCTGTGTAATATGCGCAAGGACTTGAGCTACAGATCAATCCTGTAAAGTTTCATTGAAATTGCATTAGTGGTATAAGAGAAGTAGTCCGGACAAACTTTCAAAATAAAAATTATTAAAGGGCCATAACTCTGACAAAAATCATTGAACCGGAAAATGCTGACAATATGCACAACTAAACTTGGTATTGATCATTCCTGTAGAGTTTGGATGAAATTGCCACAGTAGTTTATGAGGAGTAGTCCGGACAAGTTTTGTGACGGACGGACAGACAGACAGACGGACAGACAGACAGACTGACTGACGACAGAGAAGTGATCCCTATATGTTGCCACAACTCCGTAGAGGCGACACAAAAACTGTCAACAAAATATTTCTATAATACAAGAGCGATCAGTAATCACATGTGTCGCCTCATGATGGCCAATTTCATGTTGGGACAAATTTTGTGACAGACAGACGGACAGTGCACAACTAGACTTGGTACTGATCATTCCTGCAAAGTTTGGATAATATTGCACCAGTAGTTTATGAGGAGTAGTCCGGACAAGTTTTGTGACGGACAGACAGACAGAAGGACAGACAGACGACGGAGAAGTGATCCCTATATGTCGCCACTACTCCGTAGAGGCGACACAAAAACCATGCAAGTAAACTTAAAGTATAATACATAATACATGCAAGAATGTTAATTAGAATTGATTTGTGTTATATCATAGTTGGCATATAGACAATAGAATATAAGTCATTAGTATTTTAATTTTTATTTCTCTTGGATATGTCTCATTGAAAATATTTTTGGTTTAGAAAACCATCAGCAGTTTATTTTTTTTAGATTTTTCTTTTCATTTACAAGTAAGGCTCCCACGTTAAAAATTTTTTGTAAACGTTTACACGATTGCTAAGAACCAAAACGATACCGTTTAAACGGTGGTACTTCTTTGTACTATACTACACCATGTATTCAAGTCTCCAAATGATGACTTACTTTTTATTTACAAATAATTTAATGTTCAGAACTCATCATGACCGAGTCCACACACATTTTCTGCATTGTATCCTCATTAAACATTAAAGGATAATCAACTTTACCAATGTATTATGTCAAGATTAGTGCACGGTTATGCTGTGTGGAGGGTTGTCAATACCTATTTTCCGTATTTTATTTACTTTGGAATAAACCAATTACAATTGATATAATTCGTGATTACAGGCAATGATTAAGATATTTTGTAAGATAATATGCTCATTTCGATTAAACGGTAAGAATTATCGTAAACGTTTTCGGCTGAAAATCGAAAGGAATCCATTTAAACGCTTAACTGTGGGGGCCATATTGACAAGGTTACTTGTTTGCTTCTTGCAATTGTATAAAACTTCTTAAAGTATTGCATGTTAACATAGTAAGTATCTGCTGATTTATTACATGTGTAATGTGTACTACCTAATCCCGCTTGTCAGAAAGTCAGCACAGGTGATGTAGTGGTGATTGGGTAAAATGTATTTTTAGAATAGTGTTACTATCACAAATCACATTAGTGATAGCAGGTTAACTCATATCGTGATCTAGAAATTTACGTAATTAATGCCCGAGATATTCTAGAATTGCTGAGTCACGAAAAACTTTTGATCTTTTAATAAAAATGTTTTGTTTAATGTAGAAATATTTATTTCCTACTTATAATTTCTAGGAATTATTGAGCTTACTCCTTAATTATAGCATAATTTGCTGTCCTACTTTTTCGACAGCAGTAAATCGTTTCAGCAGTTACTTGAATATTGCCCAATAATACTACGGGGCTACAGCGTTTTTATCAATCAAATATGTTCATATTTTAACTTGGATAACTTAATTTGAAATTGAAAAGGCTAAATATGGAAGTTTTTAAGATATCCCGACAAGTATGGGAGTTTCATAGGATCAAATTTATGTACTATTTCTTCGGCTGTTATTTGGTTGAGGACACTTGCTCCATTGCAGCCGACGAAATCCCATGTGTAGATGACATAGCTCTGAACGCGCCCTCGGAACGCGCCTGAGGGTGCGTCCATCGCAAAAACATAATCTGAAAATATGAAAACTAGAAATTTTCTGGACCCATACAGTATTCAGAAGTTAACTTAATAAACCATGGGCTAAAAAGTAGACACTTTACTGATTTTTTTTATCCTTGACCAGGCATTTGATGGAAATGAACACGGAATCATGAACACATTAAGAGCATAATTGCACTTAGGATATTTTTATTTGAAAAAGATAACAGAGTCTAGTTAAATACTTAGTACAAAATATGATGGATAATTTATCAGTTAAAACTTGTAGATTTACAAAACTGTTACAAAATGACGTACTTGTATTTGGTAAATGATGCAGCTAAGGATAAATGATTTCCAGTGACAACATGCAGACATGTAATCATTAGCAACTTAACTTTTATTATTTGAAGTCTTGCATAGATCTGTCATGTGCATTTTTTATAAACATTAAACAGTTGTGAAAAAGTCTTGTAAATTGTTAAGTAAGTAGCCCCTATTTTCTTTTTAAAACAGTTAAAAAAACATAAAATTCATAACTTCATATTTGAATACCCAATTGACTTTAAAATCATAGGGTATCGTGTTTTGGAATACCCAATTAAATGGAGCCAATTACGAAGGAAATGATGGAGCAATACCCAATTCACATTCAAAGCTTATCTGTTGCTCTGGAGCATAAGACAGAATTAACAAATGATTTATCATGTATAATATAGTACTGAAAAATATCTCAAGGTACAAAATTATACACTTTACCTTGTGTATTCTGGAAATAATGTCTCCACAATGGTCTGATTTTATCCTGTCCACCAACATCCCATACTGTAAAACTGATGTTCTTGTATTCAACTGTTTCTACATTGAAGCCTGTCATAAAGTAATGTATAATTTTTTCTTTATAGTATAAATAACCATAATTGCCAACTGTAATACTTAAGGTTGACAACATTACAACTGTAAGCCCAAACTAACTTTTTATGGAAATAAAGTATAAATTAAGAAAAATATGCATATATATGCTAAACTATATGCTAAACTAATGAGTCCATAGCACAAGGGTGCCCCCACATGTCACTTGTCATCCTACTGATGTACAGCAGGACAGTATGACAGGGACAAAGGAAATTATACAGGACTTCCCCTACCCCAAAGTGACTTGGCTATAACAAGATTACATTTGTAAACAAGAAGCGCCAAACAAAAATAAAGTATGAAAATAAACAAGGGCAATTACTCAAAAAATAAAAAGTACAGAGTACCCATTCTTGTGCACTGCACTTCTTCTTATTGAGATATATCATCCAATTAAGTTTCAAGTCCATAGCTTTTATTATTTATGAGAAATGGCCCAGACAAAAGTATGAACATTTACAAAGGGCAATAACTCAAAAAGTTAGAAGTGCAGAGTACCTGTTCTTGTGCACTGCACCTCTTTTTAATGAGATCTATCATCCTATGAAGTTTCAAGTCCATAGCGTTTATAGTTTAGGAGAAATAGCCCGGACAAAATTAAAGAATGAAAATTAACAAAGGGCAAAACTCAAAAAGTTAGAAGTGCGGAGTACCGGTACTTGTGCACTGCACTTGGGGTTAATGAAAGAAGCATGCATACCAAGTTTGGAGTCAATCCGACTTATAGTGACTGAATTATGCTCCAGACAAGCCTTAAGGGACGCTGACATGGACAAGGACGACGACACTGCTAATAAATGTAACCCCTATATGTCGCCTTTTCAAGGCCACACAAAAAATCTTAAGTTCAAAGGAATACAAATCTGAAAATATTGCTTCAAGTGTTATGAACCTTGTCACATTGGATGTGGTTGATGATAAGTAATATATATTTGAAGTCTTGAGTTAGATACCTTGAAAATTAAAGAAGTTATAGTAAACTAGAAATGTGTCCATAGGACACGGGTGCCCCCACCGCGTCACTGTTCTGTCAATCTTATGACTCTAGGTCAAATATTTTTTGAAAACTAAAAATCTTTTACTAAGTAAAGGGCAAGAACTTTACAAATACTGAATAAATCCACAAGCAAACTCCAAGGTGCATAAGTACACATGCTGACCAACATTCTTGTAAACTTTCAGGCCTACAAGTGAATTACTTTTGAGCTATGCATGGACAAGTTGAAAATTGCAAATTTATACTACTGTAAGTCAAGGGCAATAACTCTTAACTGAAAAAAATCCACATGCAAAGTCCCAGGTGCATAGCTTCACAGTGATGTGAATCATTATTCCTGTAATTAAGTGATGTTGATCATTATTTCTGTATAGTTGGTTGATTCTAACTCAATATGCTGAGCAACCTTCCCGTAAGGTTTAATGACTCTAGGTCAAATCCTTTTTGAATTACATGCGACACAAGTTGAAAATTGCAAAAATTTTATAAGTCAAGGGCAATAACTGTAAAAATACTAAATAAATCCAGAGGAAAGTACCCAGTGCACAACTACACATGCTGATCAATAAATCTGTAAAGTTTCATGACTGTATATCAAATACTTTTTGAGTTACATGCGACACAAGTTGACAAGAGCCACAGCAGGGCAGGGGCAACGCTCGACTATTTACTTTCTCTAAAAGCAAACAAAGAAATGTTTGAACAAAATCTTAACGTTTCCTTTTTATAAAATTAATCGGTCTGTCTTGTCACATTAGTTTTGTCTATATATTTTAAATAGAAACACGCAATTCTATAAATAGAAAATTCTATAAATAGAAACACGCAATTCTATAAATAGAAACACGCAATTCTATAAATAGATACATGTGGCGGTGTCACGTGGTTGACACATGGTGTCACATGGAGCCACTTGGTGGTGTCACGTGGTGGAGTCATGTGGTGGTGTCACGTTGTTGTGTCACATGGTAGAGTCATGTGGTGGTGTCACATGGTTGAGTCGTGGTGGTGTCATGTGGTGGTGTCATGTGGTAGTCATGTGGTGGAGTCACGTGGTAGAGTCACATTGTAGAGTCATGTGGTGGTGTCACGTGGTGGAGTCATGTGGTGAAGTCACGTGGTGGAGTTATTTGGTGGTGTCATATCGTTGAGTCATATGGTGTCACGTGGTGGTGTCACATGGTGGTGGTGACAAGTTGTGGTGACACATGTTGTTGTTGATGATGACGATGATGACATATATATATATATACACACACACACACACACCAATAAATATGTATGGTCATTTAATGCACAAATCTGCGAAAATTCAGTAATTTAACCTTCAAGGTCAAGGTCATTAAAGAACCCAAGTGTTTGATAAACAACAAGGTCTTGTCCTTAAGTATGTTCTGTTATAATATGAAGTTGATCCCTTCAATAATATTAAAGTTACAGCCAGTTACAGCCAAAACAATGAAAATTTCAATAATTTGAACTTCAAAGTCAAGGTCATTATTGGGTGAAGGTCAAGGTCTGTGTGGTTAATTTTTAAGGGTTATTCTTGAACATTATTATGTTCAAGTTTGAAGACAATCCAATCAAAAATAACAAAGTTACAGCCAATAATAGCCAAAAAAATGAAAATATCAATAATTTGACCATCAAAGTCAAGGTCATTTATGAGTGAAGGTCAAGATCTGTCTGATTATTTTTAAGGGATATTCTTGAAAAATTTTATGTTGAAGTTTGAAGACAATCCATTCAAAAATAACAAAGTTACAGCCAATAACAGCATGAACAATTTTAACCTTGAAGGTCAAGGTCATTTATGGATGAAGGTCAAGGTTAGTGTGGTCTACTGAAAGGTCTTGTCCCAAGGGTTGTTGTGGCCAAGTATGAAGACAATACCCCAAGAAATAAACAAGAGGGCCATGATGGCCCTAGATCGCTCACCTGACTTATCAAACTCATCCAAACAATTACCTAGCCAAGCATTCTGACCAAGTCTCATGACAGGTGAGTCAAAAATGTGACCACTACAGTGTTAACAAGGATTATCCATATTTGAGCAGTGCGACCTAGTTTTTTACCCAGGTGACACATATTCACAGTGTAAGAAATTAGGATTTGAATCCACTAGGCTGGTCGGACTACCAATTTGGAATATTCACTAGCCCGATTCATTTGTTCAAAACAGTTGTTTATATTGTCTCTAAAAATACAGTAGCCTGGTCGGGCTTGTTACTGTGAAAAGTTGGTAGCCCGAGGAGAAATTTAGTAGTCAGGGGCTATAGGACTGCTGCTAATTTCGAATACTGTATTCAAACTTGACCTAGAAATCATCAAAACAAACTTTCAGACCAATTTCCAGGATACTTGGATCAAAACAGTAGCAACTAGAGTGTTAACAAGATTTTTCTATTTTTAGCTCCGGTGACCTAGTTTCACATGCCATTTCAAACTCATCCAAGCAATTACCTAGACAAGCATCCTGACCAAATTTGATGATAATTGAGTCGAAAATGTGAACACTAGAATGTTAACAAGGTTTTTCCATATTTGGGCGGTGTGACCTAGTTTTTCATCCAAGATGACCCATGTTAGATCTTGACTTAGAAATCATCAAAACAAACTTTCAGACCAATTAACAGAATATTTGGATCACAACAGTAGCCACTAGAGTGTTAACAAGATTTTTCTATTTTTAGCTCCTGTGACCTAGTTTTTCATCCGAGATGTCCCATGTTCGATTTATTTCCAGCAATGACCTAGACAAGTTTCCTGACCAAGTTTGATGACAATTGAGTCAAAATTGTGACCACTAGAGTGTTAACAAGGTTTTACTATTTTTAGCTCCTGTGACCTAGTTTTTCATCCGAGATGACCCATGTTCGAACTCATCCGAGCTATCACCTAGACAAGCATCTTGATCAAGTTTGATGATGATTGATGCAAAAATGTGACCACTAGAGTGTTAACAAGGTTTTTCTATTTTTAGCTCCGGTGATCTACTTTTTCATCCAAGATGACCCATGTTCGAACTCATCCGAGCTATCAACTAGATAAGCATCCTGACCAAGTTTGATGATGATTGATGCAAAAATGTGACCCCTAGAGTGTTAACAAGATTTTTCTATTTATAGCTCCGGTGACCTAGTTTTTCATCCGAGATGACCCATATTCAAACTCATCCGAGCTATTATCTAAACAAGAGGGCCATGATGGCCCTAGATCGCTCACCTGACTTATCAAACTCATCCAAACAATTACCTAGACAAGCATTCTGACCAAGTCTCATGACAGGTGAGTCAAAAATGTGACCACTACAGTGTTAACAAGGATTATCCATATTTGAGCAGTGCGACCTAGTTTTTTACCCAGGTGACACATATTCAAACTTGACCTAGAAATCATCAAAACAAACTTTCAGACCAATTTCCAGGATACTTGGATCAAAATAGTAGCAACTAGAGTGTTAACAAGATTTTTCTATTTTTAGCTCCGGTGACCTAGTTTCACATGCCATTTCAAACTCATCCAAGCAATTACCTGGACAAGCATCCTGACCAAGTTTCATGATAATTGAGTCGAAAATGTGACCACTAGAATGTTAACAAGGTTTTTCCATATTTGGGCGGTGTGACCTAGTTTTTCATCCAAGATGACCCATGTTCGATCTTGACTTAGAAATCATCAAAACAAACTTTCAGACCAATTAACAGAATATTTGGATCACAACAGTAGCCACTAGAGTGTTAACAAGATTTTTCTATTTCTAGCTCCTGTGACCTAGTTTTTCATCCGAGATGTCCCATGTTCGATTTATTCCTAGCAATGACCTAGACAAGTTTCCTGACCAAGTTTGATGACAATTGAGTCAAAATTGTGACCACTAGAGTGTTAACAAGGTTTTTCTATTTTAGCTCCTGTGACCTAGTTTTTCATCCGAGATGACCCATGTTCGAACTTATCC